ACTGTAGTAGTAGTAGTAGTAGTAGTAGCATATTGTTAATGATGATGATATTTTTATAAAGCATCAATAATTTATGATATTATTATTATTATTATTATAAAGTATAATATGTTTACTACTAGTAATTATTAGATAGGGCTATTCCCCCCCTCCCCCCAAAAAAATTTAATATATAATTTACTGTATAAAAATTATTTTTATATCTAATATGTTGTTAGCTAACGGTTTTGTAATAATTATGAATCACTTATTATTTTTTTAGTTATACAATAATAAAATTTATATCTATATTGGTTTATATATCTACTGTATATATATATACTATATATATATATTTAGTATACATAAAAATAATAATAATCAGTAGTTAACAGTTAATAGATTTTTTTTTCAAAAAAAAAATATTAAATCTCTAAATATATTTAATTAGTTTCTTTTAATCAATTTATTTGTTGTTTTAATGTCAAAAATCTATGAAATATATAAATATTTTGTTGTTGTTGTTGTAGTGTTAATACAGTAGTATTGATAGTATAAGTGTAATAAATTTGGTTTATAGCTACTAAAATAATTTTATTTTTTTAAAAAAAACTAACTAAAAAAAATCTTATACAACATTTTGTTTGTATACAACAATTTTTATTTTAAAATGTATAACATATTGCTATTAGTATAGTACTGTATGTATAAAAACATAAAAATCAATATTATTTTTTATTTATTGCCGTTTATATACACTGTATATATTATAGATATATTCAGTAGTATTAAAATTATATATAATATTATTTTAAATGTTTGTTAAAATAAAATAATCAATAATTCATGATTAAGTTAAGTTAAGTTTAGGAGAGAGAGAGAGAGAGAGAGAGAGAGAGAGAGAGAGAGAGAGAACTCACACATTGAATATAGTTATCAAATATACTGTGAATATACAGTAAATTTTATATTATGTAAAACACATTACGTTTTTATTTTGTGTATCAATTTTCCGGTAATAATAATAATAAAATAATTGATTGCTCTGTAAGTTAAGTGATTATATTATTATTATTATACCTATCTATCTCTATAACTATAATATATACTGTATTATATATATATATATATATAAATATATTAAATATAAGTGTATATATTTATCATATAATCATAATAATAAAAAAATTTATAAAAATTGATTTTTATTAGATTTTTTTCAAATTGTTTCAAATCTAATAATGATAACTAATAAATAATTTATTATTATTATTAATATTAGTTAGTTAGAAAAAAAAATCAGATCCCGAAAATTTAATTATTGAATAAATTATAATATCATAAATAATATTTATATATATATATATATATATATATATGAATAAAATTTAATTTTTTGAAACTTTTCAATATTTTTTTTGAATAAAACTAGTTTTGTATACTTACTTGTATAATGTATTTAAAAAAAATACTATACAATATAATATATAAAATAGTATAGTTTTTTTACAATCATAATAAATATTATAAATAAAATTTTATTAGTGTAAAAATTTTTATTTTTAGGAAATTTATTATCTGAATTTTTTGTATTATATATATATATATATATATATATATATATATATATATATATATTAGTTGTATATTTGTATTGATTATGACGTTTTAAGTAGAGGGGGGGCTAAAGATTACACACACATTGATATTAATCTTTTATAATATTATTATTTTTTTACTGTAATATAATATATTATTAAAATATATTGTTAGATCTGATAAACTTTTTTTTTACTGTATAATAACAATAATAATAATAATAGCTATCATAGTGTGTAAATAGTATTGTAAATTTTAAGGTAATTTTTTTATATATATAAAAAATAGTAAGATTTAGCTAAAAATTTTTATCAATGATATAAACATTTTTGTTTATTATTGTGTTTGGTATTCAATAAGATTATATATACTGTATATATAATTGTATAAC